AATGCTGCAAGATTATATTATATAAAATTATCTCTAAGGTGTTTATGGAATGTAAATGAATTTTGTGTTTAGATTTGGGTCTCATCCTCAAGGTATTTCATTAGATAGATATTCCAAAAGTCTGAAATTGGAAACACTTGGTTCTAAGCATCTCAAATAAGGGATTATAAGCTTGAATGACTGAATTATGTGTAATTCCAAGTATATGTATTTATTTGCGTTTTTCCAGTCGAACGTGTCTTTTGTTATAGCCAGTTTCACCCTGTGACCCAACATCCCCTACTGCCACTCTCTGTCCCCAGACCAGACCAAGCTCAGCAATTTCTTTGAGTTTCTGTCCTTATCTTATGGGATCAAAAAATTAGTCTCAATAGGGGCTGGTAGGTGGCATGGTGGTCGGGGGCACTGGACTCCCGCATGGCCTACCATGGTTCAAGTCCAGGACCTGATGGCTTGCACTTTCTCTCGGTTTATTCCTTTCATCTTCTTCTTCTTTTTCCTCCTCTTCTTCTTTTTCCTCCTCTTCTTCTTCTTTCTTCTTCTTCTTCTTCTTTTCTTCTTCTCCTTTTCCTTCTCCTTCTCCTTCTCCTTCTCCTTCTCCTTCTCCTTCTCCTTCTCCTTCTCCTTCTTCTTCTTCTTCTTCTAATTAGTCTCACTGTCCCCAATAGAAAACTGGGTTATCTGGCCTATTTCCTAGGCACCCTGTGGCCAACTTACCTACAGGTTTCTTTCCTAGCCTCTCTGTTGGTAACGGTTTTTCATGTCATCAACTCTAGTCCATTGGACCTTCGGTACCATCTTTTCTTAGAAATGTCAGCTGCTGGTCCCATCAAGCACATCAAACTTACCCATATTCACAGCATGCTTCGAATATCTGGCTGCTCAATCCATATTGTTGATTTCTCCACTGACTTCTGTCCTACTGGACCAAGGGAATATGGTGCCAGGCCATAGAGGTGAGAGAGAGGTCATTGGCAAAATGGATAAAAGGTGTATAGACCTGGGTGTGAGTCCCATTTTGCCACTTAAGGACTTGATTATTTCAGGCAGGTTGATTCCTCTTACTAAGCCACACTCTTCTCTTTTGCAAAATGGAACCTAACCCCTAGGGTTGTGTGACTGAATTGAGATGTGTACAACACCTTGCGTGGAGTCAGTACCTGACCCGAGACATCTGAGGGAGGGTGGAAGATGAACATAACGACCTACAATATGTATGCTTTATCTGCCCCATGAAAATAGAGTTGGCCATTTTCAGTCATATTGCCAGGATTCCTCTGCCATGTCTGTCTTTTCTATCCAACTTATTACATACCCTAGCAATTTGATGTTAGATTTCCCATAAATTTCTCAAACCTGAATTAAATTCTCAACTCTACATACTTCCTGTTTTCATAGGACACCACCTATAGCACAAATCATACAAAGGTGAATCCAATATAGACTCATCCTCTGCATCTACAGTCCAGTAGAGGAAACGAAGGACTAGGTAAATGGCTGCTCTGTAGGACAGAAAGGGGTTACCCATTTTTATGGATGTTTAGAAAAAGACGATACAGCATCTATGAAGGGTGAGAGAAGGTTAGAGAAAGGAATAGGTGGAATATTTTGTGGAATTAGGCATTCAGAACAAACTTCATGACCCATGGTTACGGTTTCAGCTGGTGGAGATGCATGGGAAAGCATTTGGGTGGAGGGACCACCTTGAGCAGATACATGATGCTTTGACCTGATATGAATGAAGAATTAGGCACCTGAGGGATGTAGAGTGAATGAGTACCTAGGTGCACACAGGTTCTTACTTAGAACTCACAGCCACGTGGGAATGCCCGGGAAGCAGATTCACCTAGTTAAGGAAGGAAAAGTCTGTCTTGCAGCAGTATAGTCTGAGGATCAAGTGCACAGGAATCACGAAGCAGGGAGCCAGAAGCTGTTGTGTACTCCCAGCGAGATGGAGCAAGGAAAGTGATTCCACCTTTTGGAATCCAACTAATGGTGATTAAAACAAAATTATAACACTCTGGTTGGTGAGTGTGCAGGGAAATAGGTGGGAGTAGAAATTGGTATCATATTTCTGGAGGGTGGCTTGGCAGTACTTAACAGCCTCCTTTGAAATGTTCCTACCTGTTTCTCAGCAGTTCCACATCTAAGGGTTTATCTTAAGGAAATAATTAAGGTTGTTTGCAAACATTTAGCTTCAAGGATATTTAACATGGTGTTGTTTATAATAGCAAAATACTGGTGATAGCCTAAACCTTTACAAATAGGGGATATGTTAAATGATCATATATGCTATAATATGTGACCATTAAAATAAATATTTTTGGGGGATAGTACATCAAAGCAGATTGTAACAGTATGTTCGTCTTAATCTTGTGTTCTTTAAACAATTTAAAACAGGAAGATTAAACTATTTAAACAAGATTGTAGCTTTAGGAACACACATGCATACACACACACACTCAAGGAAGGAAACACATCAACATGTGAAGTGGGTTCTATGAGATTGCTGGATTACAGCTAGTATTTATTTTCATTCCAAGTTTATCTACATTGATTACACTTAGGAAAAGTGTTTTGTTTTTTAAAAGGTAATGAAGCCTTGCATTATGGTGATGGGTGCAGAAATTAGAGTAGGGGACTTCGTCAAGGAACAGAAGTCAACTCTTCAAGACATGGCACATGCAAAAGTTGGGGACAGCTGTGAGTGAGGTGGACCTTTTGAGCCCAGGGCTTAGGAAAGAAGTTATGAAATGAACATGCAAAGCCAAACACAGCAGCTATTTTGAGTGGGACATGGGGATTCATACTTTTTTCTTAAGTTTATTTTCTTTGTTTATGCATGTAAGAGAAAGCGAGACAGTAGCCCCAACTGGGTTTCAGTGTTGCAGCCCACCCCCACACCCAGGCAGCCCCATTCCCGGGCAAGCTTGTGTCCAGCGTACTCAGAAGTGCTCTGCACTTGCGCTGAGAACAACTTCCTATGTTGACTTGCCTTACAAAGTGTTGATTTTTACCTCTGTTCCAGCTGGCCCCTGGAACACTGGCTTTTGATCATATTGGGTTTAATTTGATAGAAGACCCAAGTATAAATGTCTAACACTCTGATGGGATCATCAGAGACCAACCTTGGCCTGGTGGGGAAAATGGGGGATTGCAATGCAGCTAAAGTAAGACTATCAAAGCATCATTTTGCTGTGGGGAGTGCAAACTTGCTAATGTTGGTGCTATGATTCATAAGCGTTTGTAAAAAGTTAATGGCGACCTGTAAGACTCAGACTATATTTTCATGACCTTGAACTGTAGAGTGAAATAGCCAGTGCCAGGTTTTCTTTGAGTTGCCATTTCCTTATCATCCTTACGTGAAGTTTTGGCCCATAGTCCTGTGGTCAGAGGCAGCCCTCGGTGTCCCCTGCCTTTGAGGGATCCCATCCTGGCCATCTACCAATAACCCACAAAGGTCCAGGTTTGCACAGGTGGGTCAGTTTCCCATAGAGCGGATAGCCTGTGTGTGTTCCCACATTCTCAGTAACAGAGAGTTCGCCTCTGTCCCGCGGTATGGTGAGTTCCATATAAGAACCCTCAAAACACACATAATGCATATGTGTGTATACCCTAGGACATCCCTATATACAGAAAGTAGCCCATCTAAAAATTTAAATTGGGACTTACCATGTGTTAGAAAATGGCTACAAAGATTCTTTACACCAGATAAAGCCACTTTTCCATTTAACCTCTATGAAGATAAGTTCTGTTTTGAAACGCATTATTGATTTTACAGATTTTGTTTTAAGCATGTGGAGGTACTCCAGTGAGGTAATAGGTGACATTCTGAGCATATAACCAGTGAACAGTAAAGCAGTAAAGTTCCCCTCCATGTGAACTCAGTTTTTTATATTTACTAAATTAATTTATAATTGATTGAAGACTGTGTTTAGGCTCTTCGTTGATTCCAGGTTCTTTACTAGGGATGATTTCATCCTTGGGAAGCGCCTACCTGCGAATTCACAGGTGGAGAAGCTCAATGGTAAAAAGACCAGTTTCTGCATACAGGTTGAACTGCACGCATTTCGGATAGCTGGTTTTTACAATATGGTTTCATTCCTGACCAGCATTTTACCTGCATTATATTTATTCTTTGATCCTATTGTTGGTATACTTAATTTCGCTCCACTTTGGCTTTAATAAGAGAAATGATACTCAACATGAATCTTTCCTAAGGGCTAATCGTAAGTATTAATTGGTTTGTAAAAGGCCTTTTGAACTGCTCAGATGAAAGGCCCATATAAAGAACAAGTGTTATTTGTGTTGTTGTTGTTGGTCTCATTTTGTTTGTTTTGGCTACTAGTTACTGTCTTTTAAGATACAGAACCTGCGTTTTAAAGTGTTGGGAAGATACTTCTTTTCGAGACAGAACATTACCAGATATTTAATACCAAGAAATAATTTTGTTTCTCTGCCAAAGGATAATACATCTTAAATGACAAAACTCTGAAAAAATGAATATTGGTTTATGTATAGCACTTCTGGCTGGAATTAACATCTTTATGAAATTTTCCAAGAAATTCTCATGGTTCAGAACACCTAGACTTAGAATAAAGCCAGTTTGAAAGATGACTTCTCATCAGCTAAGAGGGCTGCTGGCTTTTCACTGCCAGTAGACTGATTGCTAATTTGAATTCTTCTTTAGGCCAGTGGCTCTCACCCAGGGGTAGTGTTGCTCCCCAGGGGACAGTTGTCAGTGTGTACTATTTCAGGTGTCATAATTGGGGGAGGGCTACTGGCATCTGACGGTGCGAGTAAATAGCCCATAATCAACAGGGCAGGCCCCTCACGATGAAGACCTGTCTAGTCCAAGATGTCACCATGCTCATGTCGAGAAACTCTGTTAGACTACCCTCAGCGTAAACTCCTTCATCCATCTTCAAACACAAAAGTTATTTCTTAGGTTTATTGCATGTTGCTGCTTTCATTCCCCCCTTTTCTCCCTTTCTCTACAGGTTGGCATTGTGGGAAGGACAGGAGCTGGAAAGAGTTCCCTCATTGCAGCCCTTTTTAGATTGTCAGAACCCCAAGGTAAAATTTGGATTGATAAGATCTTGACAACTGAAATTGGACTTCATGATTTAAGGAAGAAAATGTCAATCATTCCTCAGGTATGCAAGTCAGAGCATTCTCAGCTATTCCTTTTATAAGGACTCTTGTATTTAATTGCTCTTAATTTTATTGCTTTTTTAAAAAAATAGATAAAAGGATTGGTCCTTTCCCCCCAATATGACATATTTCTAACACTAGGTTTTTTCATCACATTCCATTGTTTGTTCACTGTGTGTGTGTGTGTGTGTGTACGCGTGTGCTTAATAAAAACTTACCCACATAGGTTTTTGGACTCAGACTTCCCTGAGTGCCACAGTTTTCTCCAATGATAACCATGTAATTCTGAGATCAGAATGATAAATGGTTCGTTTAGCACTGGAGAGGTTTCTACAGGGGAACATGGCTTTTAAGTGTCTTAATGGTAAGATTTTGCTGTAGGAAATAAAAGTCCATTTTCAATGGTGTGTATCTCCATGGGGAATTTTTTGTGGGGGTGTGAAAATTACAGAGCTTATAGAGGCTTTGGGACTTTGAGAATCTAGTCATTAGTAAGTGATTTTAACCAGGGAGGCAGTAGAGAATAGTGAGAAAGAATAAGGGAAAAGGAATTCCACTTCTCTGAACTTTAGTTTTATTTCCTAACACGGCAACTAATAGTACCACTTCTGAGGACCGTGGTGAGGGCTAACTATGTCTGTTCCTATAGATGCTTCACGAAGACCCAAGGTGTGGTTACTATGATAATAGAGAGGGTCGGGTTGGCATCTCTTCATTGGCGTAGATTCTGTTTTCTTGTCTTCTGTTTTCTCAGTAGAAGTGTGATTTTCAGGCAGTGTTCTTAAGATGGGATTACATGCACAATAGAATTCCTCGTCATTACTTTTGGTTCATCCATTCAGTGTAAAGTCAGAAAGTATTTATTGAGCAATTATTCTTGCCCAGGTAGATAGCCCAGGGCCAGGTAGACTCTGTACCCACCAAGTCAAGGCTTCACAGCTTCCATTCTACCTCTTCTTTGATATTCCCACTTCTTCAACTCCAGAGATGGTTGTCTCTACCTTGGGTTTGTTGTTTATACAATTCTGCAATCCTCTGGACATCAAGGAGCACTTGCGCACTTGAGAAATAGAGAGAGAAGGTAAGAGAGAAATGAGAAAATACAGAGAGAAGGTAAGCGAGAAAGAGCCAGACACATGTGCTTTCTAGGCACTGGGATATCAACAGCTAGTGATGTTTATTAGGAATCAGACACATGATATACTGCAAGGCAGAGAAAGTGAATCTTTATCTTAAGAGAGTCAGCTATTGCCACCTATCATTGGCCTCTATAATAATTGGAATTTGTCTTAAGTAATTTTGCAATCAAGACCTCTCTTTGAAAACCACTGTGAGATGACACCTGACACCCACTTTTGTGACATCTGAAAAAGAAAATACTCAGTGTTAGAGAAGATGTGGAGAAAGTGGAACCGTGTGCACTGTTCGTATGAATGTGAAATGGCGCAGGTACTGTGGAAACTAGGATGGAGGTTGCTTGGAAAGTGAAAAGACTTATCTTATGCGCCAATAACTCCATTTTTGAGTATAAACCCAGAAGAATTGAAAACAGTCTCAAAGAAACTTGTACCCTCATGTTTATTTGCAGCATACTTCACAATAGCCAAAGGTGTAATGAGTCTAAGTGTTCATTGGTGGACAAATTCATAGGCAAAGCCTTGAAAAGGGAGGAAGGCCCTCCCTGCAGCCTGATGGTGAAGGGAAGTCCACATTGTTTACCAAGTTTGAATTTTACCCTGGAAGCATGAAAAACAATCTGGGCATGTGTACCTGCATCCCTGAAACTGACAGGACAGAAAAATGGAGCAGGAAGGATTGTAGCATGACCACACTCCATTGGAGTGCATTTTTCCTCCCCTCTGTCTGTCTGTCTCTGGTCAGCACACATGCCCTCTGGCAAATTTAATTAATTAATTAATAAAAAGGAAGGAAGTTCTGGCCAGCAGGCGGCATGGTGGTTGGGGTACTGGACTTCCATGTCATGTGGCCGACTGTAGTTTGAGTCCTGGATCTGGCAACTTGATTTCTTTCTTTCTTTTTTTTAATTATTGTCATCATAATCTTGTTTATATTACATTGAATTGCATGTAACTTTACAGTGTATTACATTGCTTTTTCCATGGAAATGCCATGCATGTCAGTCAATACAGAGACATTAAACTCCCCACTTCATCATTCAATATCTTTTCATTATTTTCCTGATCATTATTATTATTCCAATTATTTTTTTTAAACAATCACTGTTTCTCATTTTGCTTGTAAAAAGACATAACCCATCGTGAAATATTTATCAGACCAATCCAGTTGAGAGTACTATACACATCATCATCAACATGTGGCAACTTGATTTCTCACTTTCCCTTTCTTTCTCTCTCTGGTCACATTTTTTAAAAAGATAATAATAACAAATAAAATCAAGTAATTCTTTGAAAACTAATTTAAAAAAAGAAGTAAAATTCTAACGTGCTAGTGTGGATGAACCTAAAGACATTATGCTGAGTGACAAAAAGCCAGTCACAAAAAGACAAAGACCAAAGGGTTCCACTGGCACAAGGTGCCTAGAGAGTGAAATCCATGGAGACTGTGTAGGATGGTGGTCACTGGAGGCTGAGGAAAGACAGGCACAGAGCTTTACACAGGTCCTGTCTCCTGGGTGTGGAGTTTCAGTTTTGTAAGATCAGAAAAGTCCCGTGACTGGGCACTGGCGATGGTGATAAAACGGTGTGGCTGTACTTAATATCACGGAACTGGGTACTTACAGATAGTTACCGTGGTGACTTTCATGTAACGTGTATTTTACCATTACGTTTATACATTTTTTTTAAAAAAAGATAACCCTTTCAGGAGAAATAGGAAGACATTTTTAGTCTATAAGATTTCATCTGGCTATCAGAAGCATGACTTACAGTAGAAAATGAGATTAAATTCCCAAGTGTTCTGTTTTGGTCGTACTTATCTCAGAAATGGGCCAAATGAGATTTACTTAGCAGAGATAACGGGCATGTCTGGAACGTACTTTCATTTCCTTGGATGAAAGGATCTAGAAACGTGCCCTGCATTACTTTTAATGCTTCTTAATAAGAAATGGTTGTACGCTTGTGTACATAAAAGAACTCTAAATAAAGAAGTAAGGTTAGATGATTCTTGGCTCTCCTAGTAATGTTTTGGAAGCACATCTGAGCAAAGACTAAATATACCTTGACATCAGCAGGTTTTGGTTCTGTTCCATAGGTTTCCACCCTACTTTTGAGCAAACGTTCTATGTATATCCTCTGGAGAGTGCGCTTACAAAACAGTGCTTTGTATCCATGTCAATCATCATCACAAAGCATTATAAACACAGAGCCTGTATTTTTTTTAACTTTTTTTTTTTTATTGCTACAGGGCATATGTGCTCACCAGAAAGAGAGAGACAGAGAACGCAACTATCAATGAGGTGTGGTCATGCCACAATCTCCCTTCCTCCATTTGTTCATCTCTCTGGGATTTGGGACACGCTTGCTCATATGCCTGGCATGTCTTCAGGCTGCTGAGATATAAACTGCGGTCAGCCATGTAGGACCCAGTGCCCTTAACTACCATGGGGCAGGCCCATGTATTTTTTTTAAACTTCGTAAACCTTTGTCTCCAAGGCATAATATTTCTTGTAAAAGAAACAGTCTAGAGACTGTATAAAGGAGAAAGGGTCCCAGGAAAATATTCAGGAGTTAGTCTGGGATAGAATCTTCCAGAACAGACACCATGACCAGTAATTACTGCATCACAGACTTGTCCAGAAAATTGAATTGGTTGAGGAAATGTTTGCGACCCTGTATCTGGATCTTAGGAATGCTCAATAAATAGTAATAACTTGCTATATTTTTAAAAGAGATTTCTTGGGACCAGCAGGTGGTGCAATAGCTATATCATTGGACTCCCACAGCTGACTGCAGTTCAAGTCCCAGACCCGGTGGCTTAAAACTTACGCCAGGCACATGTGTGCCTACTCAAAATCCCAAGAGGAAAATAGAGAAAGGATTGCAGCATGGTCATTCCCCCCGCCCCGGGGATGGGGGGGTGATTTCTTGCTTTCTGTCTCTGTTTCTTTCTGTCTCTCTGGCAAGTGCATGCACCCTATAGCAAAAATCTCTCTTCAAAAATAAAGGAGATTTCTTTGTGTTTTTTTAAAGAATTGTGTGTATGCATGTCCAAAATCCCAACAGGATAGAGAAACAGAGGAGAAAGCATTATGGTGTGATCACACATTGAGGGATGCTTTTTCTCTCTCTAATGAACATGCGTGTTCTCTGGCAAAATTAAAGGAGGAGGAGAAGAATACAACTTAAGTTGTCTTCAGAGCTTGAGGAATAAGCAAAAAGTAAAAATACTTTCTAAATCAGTTCTTTAAACAGAATTAGGTAGTTCAAATGTATGCTTCCTTCAAGATTCCAAGCTGTGGTGGTTAAAGGCACTTTCTGGAGAGATTCTGAATGTTAGAAGTATCTGGATAGTACAGGCTTATCTGAAAGGATCTGGAAAAATGGATTTCAAAACTTTTTTGGATGGATTCTTTACACAGAGAGCCCCTATCCTGTTGGCACAAAGAGAAAGTTTCCAGTTGGAAGAGTCATTCCATGCAAATTCAACATTTATGGTAGCACCCTCAGGGTTGGCTCACATCCACAGGGTGCTTTATCATGATTAAACAAGTTCATTTTTTTGTATTTAATAGATGTTTCTCTTGTGTATCAGACTAAAAGCCCGATATTTTAAAAATAATTCTCTGCTAAAAGTTTTCTGCTATTTTGGTATTTCTATTCCCTGACTAGGTTGAAAAGAAAAGGTTAACAGAACTGTCTTTATTACCTGGTTTCCTTTCTCTCTTATTTTTTTTTTCTTCTTGAGAACAAAACTCACAAACAGAAAAAGGTAGGTATGCTGTTACTAGTAAAGAGATACAATTGGATTCTGGCCTAATGCAGTCAGCTCTTTGTCTCTGCACACTGAAGTCTTCATTAAAGCC